AAGCCGGGTGCGGGGGTGGTGCGGTGTTTAGCCCCTCTGATCTGAGCCGCTGCCAGGGCTGTGCCTCCAGTGGCTGCTGTCCTGGCTTCGCCTCCGGCTCCGGGACACTGGCTTGTGGTGGCGGCGGTCATCCCGGTGGTGGCCAGAGCTCCTCTCGCTGGATGAGTCCCCATCATAGCCCTGGCTGTGGTCCAAGTCATCCCGGGAGCGGTGCAGGGCTGGATCCACACCGTGTGGCCTGTAGTCCTCGTCTGAGTCATAGCGTCGGGGCGCAGTGGGGGACCCGGGGCTGCTCTTGGTCGCAGGGAGGTGGACTTTCTTTGGTCTTTTCAGTGTCTGCAGGTGGAAAGTGAGAAGGAGAGGATGGTGGGTGCAGCCATCTTTCCCAGGAGATGTTTCTACAGCAATTTCCAAGCCCCAAACAGGAACCCTGAGATGTGTGAGACAGGGGAGCTGGGATGGGGACAGGCACGGTGTGGTCCCCCACCCCACTGCAGGGCACACTCACAATGTTGGCGATCTTGCCGCAGGTTTTAAGTGTCTGGACGGCAAAGGAGGACGAAACATTCTCCATGGAAAGGCCATTCACCATCACGATGCGATCCTTCCTCCTAGGAGGGAAAACACAGCCGTGGCTCTGCCTCAGGTGCAGCTGCTGGCTGGGGGGGGAAAAGGGGCAGCCGTTGCCCCAGGGGGACCCCATCCCAGCCAAGCAGGGTGGCAGCAGTGCTGGCCCTGTCCCAGCAGGAGCAATTCGCTGCCCTTCCCACTCCCGCTGGCCGTGAGCACCCCCCATGTCCCCACATCCCCGCGCACTCACTGGAGCTGGCCCGCTGCCGGTCCCCCAGACACCACATCCGAAACGATCACCGCCGTGTCCCCGGTCATCTTGTTGGGACGGTCCCGGCCTCCGGAGACAGCAAAGCCAAAGCCCCGTTGAGGGTCCTAGTGGGGACGGGCAGAAAGGGGTCAGGCAGAGCTGGCCTACAGACCCTGTCCCATCCCACAGCCACCCTGGGCCATGCTCACCTTGCTCAGCGTCACCGTGTGCTGCTCCCAGATCACCATCTCTTCCATGGCGGCCACCCGCCAGCGCAAGCGAGGGAG